AACTATAAAGCCTGCCACCCCTCAAAGCTCTGCCAGTGGCGGGCTGTTCCAGGAAGGGCACTGGACTAGAAGTCAGGATCCCTTACCAGCCGTGAACCATAGTTGAGTTACATCCCTTCTGAGCCTCAGTTTCCTTATCTGTAGAATGGGAGCTGGATTGTGGTGAACCTCAATACGGGGAAGCATTGGTCACAAAGCATGATTTGTGAGACATGCTCCCGCAGCACCGAATCCAGATGCTCTGCCCAGAGGTCTGCCGTGACCCCTTGTAAAGCCAGTATCCCCGCCATGGGACTGCACGGGAGAAGGACTTCCTGTTCTCTTTGATGTGTGCCTCAAAGGGCAGAGGCTGCCTCAGATCCCGTTCAGTTTCCCTTAACAGGCCGTCATGCTTGTCCCTGACAAATTTCTCTCGATGGTTTTTGAGCTACTCGCGTTTCCCTCCTTCGCCAGTCCTCGAGGCAGAGTTTGCCCCCTTATTTCACCTATGTGTGTGCCTCCTTCAAGCACGGGGGCCCCATGGCCCTGGGAGGCTGTGCCAGGCTGCTTACACGCCACGGTAGTGGCAGGCCTGGGTTCAGCTACCCACTCAGGCACACGTGAGCTCCATGACCACAAACACATACTTAAATTCCCTGGGCGTCGGCTTTTCCATCTCTAGAATAATAATAGTCGCTACTTCACTGGTTTGTTGGGTGGTACATAAAGTTCTTTGCATAGTGTCAGGCTCAGAATAATTGCTCAATAAATGAATTATTATTTGTCCTAACAAGGTCTTGAGTGGAGGCAGAACAGGCCAACCTATAGAAGATCCCCAAAGTTGGCAAACCATGGGTGGAGTGAGGCCAGGGCCTCATCCTAGGAGTACAGGCAGGACTGCAGGCACAGCGGGAGTCCAGAGACAGGACTGCTTTTGGTAGTGCAGGATTCCTCACTCTTGGCACTATTGACATTTGGGGCCAGATATTGCTTTGTTGTAGGAAGCTGCCTGTGCACTGCTCGATGTCTAGCAGTACCCCTGGCCTCTACCCACTAGAGACCACAAGCAGCCTCCCAGCTGTAACAATCAAAAATGTCTCCAGATATTGCCAGCTGTTCCCTGAGGGGCAAAATCGACCCTGGTTGAGAACCCATGTTCCCCCAGACAGAGTGTGACAGGCACTGTTGTTAGCCACCCAGGTCCTAGGAGAGCCAGGGTTACAGAGCATCTGTCCTGGCAGGATGGGCGGGTCGGCACGTGGCAGAGCCAAGTGGCAGGTGGTCAGCTGCAGGCGGCCTGGCAGCAGGCACCAGGCGGTATAGGTTGGGGCTAAGACCCCAGCTGCTGGGAGCCCAGCAGCCAAGCAGGGACAGTTCACGCCTCATATGACGTAGAACCTGGGCACACTCTGTGGTTCTCTGTCCAGGACCAGGACTGGATCCAAGGTCTGGACGGGGCAGAGCCTTCTGTACGGGAGTTGGGGAGGGTGGTAAGAGGGGAAGAGACAGGAGGGGCCCCACCCAGCCTGATGACCTTGATGACCTCCAGTCTGGAGAGCACAGGCTTCCGGCTGAGAGAGACCAGGTTCATACCCGTGCTCTGCTGCGTGGAAATTAAACCTACAAAAAGTAACAGATGCTGCCATTTAAGACAGGGAGACCACCTTAGGCAGGTTGCTTAACCTCTAAGCCTCACGTTCTTCATTTGTGAAGTGAGGATAATGCCAACCTCATGTGGTTGTTATAAGAATTGAATGTGCTGTTATAATGACTATATTTAACGTTATGTCTGGCACGTCATAGGCACGCAGTAAATGTTGTTGATTGAGTGAATGGGTGAATCCTCACACAGCAAACCTTTCTCCCTTAAATCCTTTTGTTCGTTTTAGTTCTCTTCTCTGGAATTTCTCCAGTTCTCTGACATAGGAAACTGTTGATTTCTCAACGGGAGGAAATGAGTTACTCATCTCTGTATCACTAGAGCATCAGGCCTGGTAGATATTAGGTGCTTAAAAAATGAAGTTTTCCTTCCTCAGAGGGCAATGACTGTGCCTTATTCATCTTTATAGAGCCATAGAACAGCACAGCGACTGACACACAGCAGGCATTCATTAAATGTTTGTGAATGAATCAATGAACATACTAAAAATGGTTCAGTGAAAGGTGTGACAAGGAACACTACCTGGGATTCTTTATTGGAGCCCATGCCTAACATGTCCCTTTAGGAGGAACACGACTGTCTTACTTGGAGGAGGTCAGCCAATCCCTGGGAAGGGCAGCAGTGGCCTCACTGAGGTGGTAGGTGACAGGATCAACTGCACAGTCATGAGAGACAGTGAAGTTTGTTAGGAAGACCCCTGGATGGGGAGTCAGGAGACGTGGATTCTGGTCCCATCCCTGCCACCCATCTATGCAGTGACACTGCATGGTCACTACCCTCCTTGGGCTTCTGTTTCCCCATCCATTCAATGGGTGCTTGGTCATGCCTTGGTGTGACTCTATCTTTTGGTGCTTGGCCAGGGTGACCAGTCAGTTAATAGCCATGTTACTGAGCGTGGCCAAGTGACCCACATTGGAGACCAACCAGTGACATCAAAGCACTACTGATTTCACAATCGGCTCCCCAGCCACCTTAGAGCTGCTGGGCTTTGAACACAGCACTAGGTGAAGCATCCACTCTGAAATCCAGAGGTCTGATGAAAGCTGCCAGGGGTAGGGCAGTAGTTAGATTTTCCAAGGGGCCTAAAGATTTTCCAGGGGGACCCTTGAGGATTATCATTAACAGGGGAAAAAAATGTTAGTGATAGAAAAAGTCTTTTTTGATAATTCCTCTATCCCTCTCCCCCTTCCTAAGGTACAGAATCAACTAACAAACGGGCTTTTCACATCCTGAAGCCTGTGTAAGTGACAGATAGGGGAACACTAGCCTGCAAGAGCTTGACAGAGTCAAATTCCTTTGCATCGGAAAAAGGGGCCCGTAAAAGAGAGATGAGAGGGTTGGGTCCAGAGAGAGGAGCCAGAGGCTGAACACAGCGGGCATCCAGGGGAGAGGATTGGAGAGGGAACAGGTCTGTGGGCGATTTGGGGGTGAGGTGAGTTGCTTTCTGAGTGAATGGCATGGAGAGAGGCAGTGGGATGAAGAGTCAGGAGCTCTGCGGGTTACTAGCGGCTTGTCCCTGGGGGAGAAGCTTAGCCTGTCTGTGCCTCAGTTTCCTCATCTACAAGGTAGGCATGACAGAATCTTCTCTGGAGTGGAAAACACTTAGAATTGTGCCCGGCATGTAGTAAAGGACCACAGAAGTGTGTGCAGCGGTGGTGATGGGGCTATAAAAAAAAAAAAAACCTTGAAATCGCCAGTAGAATTTACATCACTTGGGAGGACCCAGCAAACTGCCCTTCAGGGACTAGGCTGAGTGGCAAGTCTCACGTTAGCTGCCCGGCAACACCTGGTGATACCTGTGCGGCTGAGGCTGCTAACAGCGGGCCGGGCCATCACCAGGGCTCTGCTGTGTCACCAGGGACACCCCACCTCCACCACCACCAAGAATGTGTGCTCTGGGAGCCCGGGCGGGTGCAGGACATCTGCTCTCCATGTGGCTAAACCGTCCCCAAATTGCTGTGGGCTGAACTTTGTCACCAGCATGTTTCTCACGAGGACACTTCCCCCCACCAAGAGGCACGGACCTTCCAGCTGGGCTGGCCCCCCTGGCAAGTGCACTTGGGGGATATTTTCAGGTTCTGGGTGACATTCCCCTGCCCCTCAGCCTAATAGGTCCCAGATGTCCCCTCCTCCCTTGACCTCCCTCCCTCTCGCTGTTCTGAAACCTCACTGCCGGCCCGCCTGGGGCCTCCTCACCCAGGCATTACACCCCTTGACTCTTTTTTTTTTTTTTTTAATTTAAAACATTTTGTTCCCCCTTAATGTGACGGCTTGACAGAGGCCAGCATGAAAGAGGCTGTTTCCTGCTGGAAGGGGACCAGGATGGAGAAACAGGCAGATGAAGGCGGAGAAGGAAGCTGGCTTTGGGAATGTGAGGAGCAAGGGGAAACATAAGCAGTCTTTATTGGCTGAGCATAAAAGAAGCGACGGGAGTAGCAGCTGTCTTAACGTGGCCAGGTCACCAGGGGCTGGGCAGACACACCGGGCCCAGCTGGGAATCCCACGGGCCCTGGGTCTCTGGTGACTCACGTTTGCAGAAATGCCTTTCAGTTTCCTATCTTTCGGCCGCAGCTTTTTCTCTCCCTTACCTCCCCACCCGTCCTCCTGCCCCTTTTGCTGACCATTTGAATTTGTAATTCTCCGCCGCTGTTGTCCGTAATGAGATAGGGCTCATGCTGAGGGCTGTGGGAGGGAGGAGGGAGAGTGGCCACAAGGAGGAGGAAAGAAAGGAGAGAGCTTGGAGGGAGGGTAGGGCCAGGGCACAGAGGCAGGCGGTGAGAAAGAGGGAGTGGGCAGCGGACCCAGGAGGGCAGAAAGCCTGACTCAGAGCTTAACAGAAACCAGGACAGGCCTGATAAACATCAGGCGGGGAACCCAGTGAGAAACCTCCTTTGGCCCCTGCTGTTCCTGCCTGTTTTCTGTTGCATTTCGTGTGAGCGTGGAGAGACAACGGACATGCTGATAATCACAGCCTCCAGGTTCTGTAACACTCTGACCCTTGGCAAAAAGCCTTGGTGCCCAGCACCCTGTGTTCTGCAAAGCCACTTTGTGCCCAAGCTGGGACGGGTCCCAGGGAGCGCGTTTTGTGGGGTCGGAAGTTGAGGTGTGGAAAGGACAGTTCAGGAAGTTAGGGCCCTGGCCTGGCTGCACCTGGGGCCCAGACCTCTGGATTTCTCATCCAGTGATAAAAATACAGAGATGAAATAAAGGGGGAAGAGATTATATTGGTGACAGTGGGCCAGGAAAATACAAACTTCGAAGACCAGATGGAAACCCCTCAGCTGAAGAATTCTTGGATGCTGCTTCTAAGCAGCCCTTATGGCACTGACACTGACCCTGGCATTTTCTCTCTCTCTTTCAGGACCTCCTGTAAGTACTCCCTTGAAGCCTGGTCTCACGCATCTGAAAGACCTTGCTCCCTGCTGGTAACTGGGCCCTGGGTGGGGGGATTGAGGCCCCTACACCCTCCACTGAAGTCTGCAGGGTCCCTCCAGAAGGTTGACACGGCAGTCATTTTGCTTTCCACCCACCTCTGCAGCCTCCAGGGCCAGACCATAGTTGTGCCCCGGGCAGAACACGTCCCAGTTGCAATCTGAAAGGCTGGTTTGCCCCATTGTTAGCCTGCTCCTTTGTCCCCCAAAGAGGCAAGTGGAGTCATAGAAGCACCGGGTATTAGAAAGAAGAAAGAGATCATCTCTGGTCGGGTCTGGTCCTTGAAAGTCCCCTGCCCTTTCAGTAAACAGGTCGGTGAGCGGCTCTAAGCGTGGACTGCTCCTGAGGATGCGGTGTCCGCACCGCCGAGTGGGCATCTCCATCTGGCCAGATCACTTCGGGCAGGTGGTGGTTGGTAGTGGTGGCAGGGGTTTTATGTAAGAGAATGATGTCAGCGGGTTAGATTGGGAAACAACACAAACTAGAGGCAGCCTGTCGGGCTCCTTCCCCTGGCATCACCCTAAAGCCAGAGGCAGGGCGGGGGAGCTGAGCCATTTCCAGAGAACCTGAGAAGAGCCCGAGGAGACCGTCTCCTCGAAGTAATGGATCCAGAGAACAGGGGCATGTCTTCTGAGGACAGCATTTGATATCCCAACAAAAGGCCCAGAGGTCGCCGGGGGAGCTGGGTATCGGAGTTGAAAGGGCCGAGCCCTCCACATCAGATCTTTCTCAAGGATACTGAAAGCAGCCCTATCATCGTCCCTTCCTCGGAGAAGTCATTTCCATAGCTGTTCTCTCGATCTGAACCAACGAGAACAGCCGCCTAAGCTGTAACAAGACCATGATGTCCCATTCCATCTGTGTCCTGAAAGGCACATTGAACCTGGGCTGACGATCCCGCCCAGCTCACTCACTGCTCAGTTACAGAGAGAGAGGAAAATCCTGTCGTTCCCTGAAAAGAGGAGGGATGATTTATCATCCACGCTTTGGATGTCAGATCTCAATTCCTGTCATCAATCTTCCAAAATAAACTCTGCCATAGGAAACTTCGACAGACCACCTGCTGGAGATGGGCTGCTTCCCCCTTCTGTGTGACAAAGCCAAAAAGGGTCCTCACCTCCCCCCATTCCAGGGACCTCCCGCATACACCTCGTTCCCACAGCCAGGCTGCGGGGCTAACCCCAGTCAGCTCTGGGTCCCTGCCTGACTTGAGGGCTGCCCTCACCAGGAATGCAGCATCCTGAGAGCTTCTGCTGGCCTCACCCCACAACTTTCCCCAGCCAGGGAGGGTGCTGTCACTGCTGGGGGCTCTGCAGTGCAGAGCAGATCGGGGCCGGGGCGGGGGCGGGATATGAGCCTCTCCTCACAATCCCTGCCTGCCCAGCCACCACTCCCATGGACTGAGGGAGAGGAGCCCGGGTAGCTTCCCTGAATTCTCAGCCTGACGCAGAAGAGGCCTGAGTCTTCACCCAACTCTGGCTGAAACCGCAAGGCAGGATGGGGAGGAAATGGGAAGCTGGCCGGGGTGGAAATCACCCCCTAGCCCATTCTCTCTGCTTCCCGCAAAGGAAGAATGCCGCCAGCCAGAAGCAGGGAGAGGGAGATGGCAGCTGGTCACAATGCCTGTCTGCCACCCTCTGTGTGTTTTTCAGGGGCACCTCTGGGGTGACACTGGTTACTGTGGTCAGTGCCTAGATAACACAACCATGGAGGATAGATTTAAGCAGCAGCAGGAATCATCTGAGCGGTGGGGCCCACCACTACCCCACCGCTCCTGTCCATGGCAGACATCGCTAATCAATTAAGAGGCTTCTTAACAGAATGCTTTACTCAGTCACTACCAATCCACTGGAGTCCGCACTCAAGCTGACAGTTGCTGGCCATCCCTGCACTAGATTTAAGAGAATTTCTTAATTACAGGAATTGTGAGACTGAAGCAGATGACCAAGGGAAGTATGCATGTCTCTTTCTCCGAAGGAATATAAGGAAATGTATGAAGTCCAGCTGCCAGCCCTGGTTGAAAATCATCCTTGCTGAAATACTAGCTAACACTTACTATGTGTTAGGAGCTCATGTGCTTTTATGGAAGCAGTGTAATTGAGTGATTTCAAGCATGGACTCTGGAGGGAAGCCGCCTGGGTCCGAATCCTGGCTCTGCCACTTCTAGCTGTGTGACCTTGGACAAATTACTTTACCTCTCTGTGCCTCAGTTTCCTTATCTATAAAATGGGAGTAGTAATAGTACCTGCCTCATCCAGGTGTTGTAAGGAATATATATATGTATGTATATGTGTGTATATGTATATATATTATGCATACATATATATGTGTGTATGTACGTATATTTTTTTTCCATTTAGAATGTATCTACTCATTTAAATTCTAAAAACAGAAGACTTCCCTAGATGATCCCCAAAGATTCTGACAAGTCTTTAATTTTCAGGAAGAAATTATTATTCTTTGTATTTTTATAAATTAATTTACTATTTCATTTTATTTCTACCCCACCTTATTCCAAGAAACATTTCGGGGTGATTATAAACTAGATACGGAAACAGTGGAGGGGAGTGTGGAGAGCAGAGGCAAGAAAACAAGGAGAATCCAGAGCTGATGACACCACAACATCCTGTGCAGATGAGCCACAGACGCAGCTTTGAGCTTCTTGGTGGTCAGAGCAAAGAGGGAAGCGGAGCTGTTACAAGAGTCAGGGGGCAGTAAGGTGGGAGCACCCCTGGCTGTTGGGTGAAGCATAGCTTTCCCTGGTGCTGAGACCCTAGAGAAGTTCCTCCCGCGTACAGGTGATGTTGTTGTTCAGTACACAGGAGCAGTGGGGAGACTGCCCCTCTGTCCCTATCGGGGTTAGACCCCCTGTGTGAGGTTGGGAACTCCCCACAGGCCCGTCTGCCTCCTGGGACGGGAGGGAGGTGGTGGCCCCTTGTTGGCCCACTCCCTGATAGCATTTAGAAATGACAGGAAGGGAGATTGGCTCAGTGCTACAGCTCTGGTTTGAGAACATTGGGTGCCCGAGCTGTCTTTGCAGAGCTGGGAAAGAAGGGGCTGAGTCCCCAGGTTTGTGGTACCCGCCCTCGGGTTCATTCGTTCACAAACATGAATTAAGGAGCTACTAAGAGCTCAGCACTCCTTAAGGCACTGGGGACACATCCGTGAACAAAACAGAAAGTGCCCTGCCTGCCTTGGGAGCTTACGTTTTAGTGCCTGGGGGCAAAGCAGAGTGAAAGGGTAGGCATGGGCTACATGCCCACGGGGCCGCTAACCAGCATCCCCCAAGCTTGGTTCTCTGGGGGGGCATCACCTCTGGGATGCCCCAGGAGCATGCCCCACCTCTGGGATGTCCTCAGGAGCAAGGGACCCGGTGGGTGGGGTGGTGCCAGGGGCATTACTCCTGGTGCTGCCTGCGTTGCCTCAGCAGCCCTGAGGCAAATGGACTTGTCTCCAGGTGGGCACCCTGAGACCCCCTCCTGGCGCCGCTGTGGGTCTATGGGAAGAGCAGGACATCTGGAAGGAGAGAAACTCACCTGATGGCAGAGCCTCTGGAGGGCGAGACCAGGGGCCAGCTCCACGCACCTCCCGGCCAGTCCTCTTCTTTCCTAATGATCGCAGCATTCAGCGCTCGCTCCATGCCGGCCCGTGTGCTGAGTGCTCTACACAAATTATCTCATTCAGTCCCGAGAGGTAGATATGATTGTTCTCCCATTTACAAGATGAGGAAACTGAGATACAGGGAGGCCAAGCGACTTGCCCCAAGTCACCGACTAGTCAGTGATGGCCAGGCAGGCTGACTGCAGAGCCCTGCTCTTACCTAAAGCCTGCTGCTTTCTCCCGTACCAAGACTGCATCTCTCCTGACCCCAGGCCCCGGCCGTGCCAGGCTGGGGCTCAGCTCCAGAAGCTCTCCGCAGGGGGTCCTCCCGCTCCGCATGGCGCCCCATGACACCTCACCAGGCAGCTCCTAGAGCAGTTTCTCCGCCACCCTCTTGTATCAGATCCATCTGGAAGTTGGGGGCCAGAGTGAAAAACACATGACTTTCTCAGAAGCTGCTTTGTTCCTGAGCCCCCTCCTGTGCATATTACTATGCGAATATCTATTATGATCGACTTTTTTTTGAATGTTTTCCTCTTTTCAGTGGGATTTCAGATCCATCGTATGGAGTGTTTAGTCTATACCCAGAACTGTGCTAGGCAGGAGTCCTAGGGTCATAAAAAAAGTTTGAGGGGCTTCCCTGGTGACGCAGTGGTTGAGAGTCCGCCTGCCGATGCAGGGGACACGGGTTCGTGCCCCGGTCCGGGAAGATCCCACATGCCGCAGAGCGGCTGGGCCCGTGAGCCATGGCCACTGAGCCTGCATGTCTGGAGCCTGTGCTCCGCAACGGGAGAGGCCACGACAGTGAGAGGCCCGCATACCGCAAAAAAAAAAAAAAAAAAAAAAGAGCTTGAGAAAGACATGGCTGTGGTCAGTGAAGACAGACTTCTGGAGCCACACAGGGTGGGGTCCAGTCTCCTGCTTCACTGCCAGCGCCAACCCATTGTAGAGAGGGTGGCCTGAAGCTAGTTAGAGGCATTAAAGGAAGGAAGTCCCACTGCCCCCTTCACCATCCCAATAGAGGGCAAGAGGCCCCCTAGAGAGGCCCACACCCTTCCCACGCCCTGCTCCCTGGCCATGGTCCATCGGCTCAGATGGGGCAGGCCCAGCAGAAGCGTCCCAGGCAGACCGGCTCCATCAGAGCTGGCATCTAGCTTCCCCTGTGTCGTAGGACAGGGAAGACCAAGCTCCAGCCCCTTGGGCCCTTTCCCAGGCCAGGACCAACACACATGAGTGGGGGACACTGAGGCACAGAGACTCAGAGAGAGGGGACATGCCGGTGAGTCCTAGAGCCCTGATGATCCTTGAGGGACAGAGATACGAAGGGGCATTCTTGTCTTTCTGTTCCCTGCACCTGCCCTGAGCCTGGCACGGAGGAGACCACTGCTCACTGTTTTTATGAATGAATGAGTGAGTGAGTGCGTGAATGCATGCTAGAACTGAAAGGAAGCTTAGTGATTATGGCCCTCTCTTCATTTTGTTCATAAAATAACAGAGGCTTATAGAGCACAAGTGACTCCAAGGTCACACAGCTGGCTGGGCTCTGTGGAACAATACCCTGACCTTCCTAAACTTCACTCTTTCCCCCTTTATTTCAGGGTCCTGCTGGAAGACCTGGCCTCCCGGTAAGTAGCTTTCATTTCTTTTTTCCTTTGCATCTCTCTCACGGGCCCTTTCTCAATCCAAGGACAGGAGAGGTTGGGTGGCTGCTTTCCTCCAGGTGTGTCTGGGTAGGAGGCCTCTCTCCAGCGTCTCTAACCTACAGCTGAGGGTGAAGCTCCTTGGCACCTTTCCTGGTGCCAAATGACTTCATGCAGGCCCATCCAGGGCCGCACCTGACTTCCATACTGGTGGCCCTATAATGGGGGGCTGGATGGGGAGGCAGTTCCCTGACTTACTGGGTGTCCTCCTTACTGGTATGCACCAGCTTAGTCGAAGGCCACTGTCCCTGCTTTGTCCTGTGTCCTCTGGTAAGAGTAGACTCAAAACCTTTGTTTTCCCCCCAGTTACCATTTCTGAGTGCTAGAGAGGCTGGGTCAAGAAACCATGGGGACTCTGGGACAAAAGTATCAATAGTACTAGTAGCCATGTCTCAGACCTTCATAGGTGCCAGGCACTCTGCTAATCCCTCTTTATACATTTGATTTGTTCACCAGCTCAATGAAATGGGTATTATTATGCCCATTTTATAGATGAGGAAACAGAGATAGGTACAATAGCTTGTCCGATTGTCCAAGCTTCAGTTGTAGACCTGTCTGAGGTCCCGTGTTACCACATACCATCCCATACTACTGTTTCCCGTGGTCCGTACTCGACATTTGAGGACTATCTTTAAAGTCTTCAAAGGCATTGCCCTGTGGGGTGTAGCCTGGGGCATAGATGCATTGAGTACCGGATACCGCGGGCCCTTGGATGGGTAGTGGCTCAGGCGAGATGCTGTAGCCAGCCAGAGGGCCGAGGTGGGCATGGAGGGGGAGCCAGGGCTGGCATCAGGCTGCCCTCTCTCCCTGCGCTGAAGGCCACACCCCCTGGATTCCAGAGCCTTCTGTGCATCCCTCTTATTCCAGTTACTCCTCTTTTAGACATGAATTATACTGTAACCTCTTGACTAAACCAGCAGCTTCTAGAATTCATGTCCAGCAGTGACTTTTTTAATGAAATGCATGTGGGCAAATGTTTAGCCCTTGAAAATGAAAACTCTCCCAGCAAGTACGAGCCCTGGAGCAAAGAAGGATGGAGGACTCTGTCCCATGAAATCCAAGGAGGGGAAAAATCAGCTGACTGGGAGAATGTGGGCAGACTTTGTTTTTTTCTGACAATGTCCACCTTTAAAAAGCATTTGGGGGCAATTCTCAGAGCAGGGGCTGCCGCACAGAGTTTTCAGCCTCTGGCCCTTCCATGCCAGCCCCTAACCCGAGCATTTTATGGCCAGGACTGCAAAGAACATTAGTTTTAAAAAAGAAATGAAAAGAAACCAAAACACACATCCTGCAATATCATTCAGAAGCCCAAGAGTGAGTGGGTTGTTGGGACCAGCAGGCCTGTCGTCCTCAGCAGGGAGGGTCACAGTCCTGCTCGTGCTTCCGAGCACAGGGACCTGGGAGTGACCCACAAAAAGATTTGCGGTTGCTGGTCTCTTGTGAAATACAAAAGTGTGAAGTACACACGTGGCCATACTGGGCTCACTACCTGGAGACGTAGTTTACACAGCACTCAGCAGGTGCCAGGCACCCGGAGTTAGCGTTCCAGAACCATTGTCTCTTGGCATCCTCCCAGCAGTCCCGGGGGAGAGGTCCGGATGTTCAGGGAGGTTGAAGAAAAAGATACACGTGTGTGTATATATATATATATATATATATATATATATATATATAAAACAGATATCCACGTATTGCTGCAACCCTGCCACTCTTTCCCAAAGTCTGAATGGTTTACTAAAGACACCTTCAGCCTTGACAAGTGTACATGTAACAGTAGCCTAATTCAGAGCTGGTTGCTATTCCCTGGTGCGTCCACATACATCTTGGGATGCTAACCATCCCTCGGGACGTTTTGCCTAAGTGAGATCAGCAGACACAGAATCACCCCAGAAATGCCCACCCTTCAGGGGAACCCACAAACCCAGCTCTCTCCTGCCGGGACAAACACCGTCTGATTTTCAGCCCCTGTTGTTTTCCATCCTTCCGGGCCCCTGGCAAACCCCAAGCCCCACCCCAGATTTTATGGGTCTGCACATATATGATTGCAAAAAAATACTCTCTACCAAAAGAGGGAGGAACAAAACTTAATAAGCAGATTTCCAGAGTGAGAAGATGTAACCCCTGGCTGCAAAACAAAGCAGTTCCCTCTCAGCAGCTGAAACTCCTGTTGCGGCTGAACCCACAGGGCGCACTATTGGCGCGGGACGGGGTGGGGCCTGGGTGTGGCAGTGAGGAGGGGCAGGACTCTGTTGGTGGCCTTCACAGACACAGGGCCTGGGGAGGAGCTGGGGGACGTGGGCGCTGCTCCCCAGCTCTGGCAGAGATAGACCAAGGGAAGTGATTCGCCCATCTGTCACATGGGAGCTGCCATTCATTCACCCTGCTCCGTGCCTAGTTCCGCGTGACGAGGATGCGGCCAGACAGTCTGTGGGACTGAAAGGGGCGAGTTCACCCACGTGACGCCTGGGAATCATCCCAAGTGCCCATGCAAACCAGGTCTTGGGTGTGTAGCTAGCCATGGGGTCCTTCACGTGCTGGCCTGGCTCCAGTCACATCTGTATGTTTCTGCCTCCATCAGGGGGACAAAGGTGCCATTGGGATGCCTGGACGTGTGGTGAGTTGGAGCATCTGTGCCTGCTTGTGTGGCCATTGCTTGCTTCCCCGTGCCGGCCTGTCCTGCAGACCATGGCAAGACGTTGCCTACCCCACCCTAAGGAGGGGTCGGACCTCTCCCTTCCCCCACCCAAGTCTGCTTCAAGGAGGAGGGAAAAGTTTTATTCCAATCCTTCCGATCTTGCTATATGGCTTTACTCTCCAGAGAACTGCCATGGCAAAGGAAAAATCCAAAAATGGCATGAATAAAGCTCATCGCCAGTCACTACTGAGGACTCCCACCCACTCCACTCCCTAACCTCCCGAGGCTGGCAGCTCACCCCCAGATTTATAGCTGCTCCTGCAACCATCCCCCGGCAAGAGTAGCGAAAGATGGCAAGAAATGCAAACTGAAAATGCTCTACAGAAACTGCAGTGGAGCCAGCTCCGTAGTCATCTTCCCTAGACAGAGGCTAGTGATGCAGAAAGGGCTTGCTTCCAGGCAGGGCGTCCAAATCCTCAGCAGGAGGCTGGGGGTTAAAACATTCATCGTTTCCTGCTGAAAACAATAAGATGATGAAAGGGCATATTTGATAGGGAGCTTGTATCTCAGAAATGGGAAGGTTGGTACTAGGCTTTAAGGTCCCAGCACCAGGGTTTTTCCTGGTGGCTTCTAGCCTCCGAGGGGCTGGAATGGGCAGCACCTGGTGGCAGCCTAAGGCAATGATGGCCACACGCTGGCCTCACCACCCCCCAGCCTAGTCTAGGACGTGGCCCAAGCTGCTCTCCCCGTCTGACCTCGAACCCCCCACCAGCCGCCAGCCTCAACCTCCACCCTGGCTCCCAGTGCCCCAACTTGCCCCGTGCCGTCCTTCCATGTCACTCACATGCTTTGCCTGGTAACCTCACCTCCTGGGCCGGGTTGGCCTTAGGCCTGGGTATGGCATCCTGTGTGAGTTTGCTGACCTGGTGTGAACCCAGTGCTCAGAGAAAAGGCACCAAATCATAGCTACCACTTGAAAGTGCTCCCGGTGTGCTTGGCACTGTGCTAAGGGCCTACTGCATGAGGTGGGCCCAGTTTCTACCCCATTGTTCAGATGAGAGAACTGAGGCTCAGATGTTAAGTGTCTGTCCCAAGGTCACAGGTCTAGGAAGTGGCTGATCAGGGACTTTAATCCAGGCAGTCTGACTCCAGACCTGTGCTCTTGACCTTGATAATGGAACTCACCCTGCCCAGGCCCCCTCCACTGGCATCACAGCTCTACGGAGGGTCTGATCCTTAGGAAGAAGCCGCAGTCCTAGGCCTAGGACCTGGGACATTTCAGAGGTTCAGGACAAGTGTTCCATGTCACAGAGCTCTGAGCTCCCCAGGGCTACCCAAGAACTGTCTGTCAAGACATGGAGGCTGGGAGCCCTGGGCCACCCCCGCGTGCAACTGTCCAACCACGTCCCAGATCACAGCACCGTGCAATTCCGGCCTGACCCTGTCTCTAGGCTTCAGTTCTCTAACTCCAAACCCTGAGTCCCCCAGACTGTCACTGGGTCCTTCCCTGTGTAGATTAGCGAGACCGCATTCAGCCGCCTTTCTCCGAGGCTAGCTGTGGGTGGGCCTGGGCCAGGCACGTTCTTCACCGTAGCCCTCTGAGATCCCATTTATCAATGAGCACGTTGAGACTCAGTTTGCCCAGGATTGGGGCAGAATTGGGTCTTGTACCCAAGACACCAAAGTCCTTGCTCCTGACAGGTCAGCTTCAGGAGTCTAACCGGCCTGCAGGGAAGCCAGCAAAGTGCAAAGCAATCCCTCCAGGCCTGCCCCCTCCTGCCCTTCTTCTTGGGCCCTGTGGATGTGTCCCCCACCCCACCCCCCCACCCCCGCCGGGGAAGTGTCCACCTGAGCCTCCGGTGGAGCAGGAAGGAGAGCCACAGGAGGTCTCCCCATTTCCTTCTACACAAAGCTATTTTCAAACCACTTTGGTGCTTTCATGCTGCTGGTGCTATTTTAAATGTGACAATGGACCCATTTGGCTGCCCAGTAGGAGCCCTGGCATGGACCCCCTGATAAGAGTTGGGGTGGCCAGTGGGTGTGAAATGCCTGCGTTGTTCCCATGATCCACCAGAGGTGGCTCCACGGGCTGCCACGAATGAGGGTGGCTTGGGGCCATGTATCCACTGGTCACTGTGCGCACAGGGGTCCTTGGCCATGACCCACTTTCCTCTGCATCCCGGCCACATCCTCCATCCCCCAGGTGTGTGTGTCCTTCTATCTGTCTTCCCGTGTCCCTCCTCGCATCTTGCCTGGCCACCCCTAACGACTCCTGTTGCATCTATTGGCAGTTTTGTGCTTGGGTATTCGGTTGGACCTTCAAGACAACTAGACTCCACCTCACCACAGAGTCCTTGGGAAAGTCTCTCCCATGGCCACCCCCTCCTCAAATGACCCCGGCAGCTGGGGCCACGGCTCCTCAGGCGACTTTCTGACCTGGGTGTGTCCTCCTTTCTCTCTGTCTCTCTCTGACTGACACACACACACACACACACACACACACACACACACACACGCACGCACACACACACACACACCCCTCTCGCAAGGGGGCCTCATAAGGCCCCTGCCACTGTTTCCTTCTTAGTTATCTGGCTGGGGCCGGCCCTCAGGCCGAGACACCAGCCGTCCACGTGCTGTGCTCGTTGGACTCGGGACCTGTCGTGTGTCAGCATCTGTGTTTTGTTTTGTTTCTTATTTCACGGTGACTTCCTGTGTTGGGTCATTGTGCCATTAACACGAATTCTTGTGTGTGTGCCTCTCTCTCATCCTTTCTTTTTTCTCTCCCTCCCTGTCTCTTCCTTGCACTCCATGTTGCATGTGGCCGCCACAGGGAGGAAAGGGCCAACCAGGCGAGAAGGTGAGTCCACGCTTTCCCCTCCACACTGCCACCCCAGCCTCTGCCTCCACCTCCTGGACTCTTGGGGGGGCTTCCAGAGGCCCCCATCCCCTCCTCCTGGCACACAGGCCCCAGCGGAGCATGCCAGCCCGTCCTGCTCTGCCCTCACAGCCTCTCACAGCCTGGTTTCCTAACAGCTTCCACACCATCGGGCAGGAGTCTTGGGACTCCTGGACTAAGGGTCCCAGCTTCCCTGGCTGAGGTCTGAGGGGGTGTCCCCTGCCCGCCTCTTCGCACTGATTTCAGCCTTAGGCAGTCACCCTTCCCAGAGGCAAGGAGAGCAACAACTGCTGTTTTGTGTAGCTGGTTCTAGCCCCTCCCTAGCCCTCCACTGGTCCCTCAGATTTAGACACTCTATTTGTGCTGCTCCAGAGAGAGTCCCCCAGGGAAACACCCAGACCTACACCTAGTCACACCAGGACTAGGAGGCAAGGCAGCTCCCACCTTCAGGCTCAGGGCTGCTGGGCCCAACAGCAAGTGTGTGTCTTCTCCCCACCCTCTCTTTACAGCAGCTCCAGCCCGGGGCCAGGGTGTGAAGCCGTGGGGCCACCTGGGGCTGGGGAAGAAGACCTCAGGGGGTGTGAAACTTGGCTGGGGCTGGGGCAGGTTGGGAGCATCCTGAGCAGGGCCCTGTGGGGATGCCTCTGGGGCCTGAGCAGCCATGGCTGAGCTGAGGCCTCCTCTCTCCCTCCCTCCCCCCTCCCCCCTCCCTGGGCCCCCTCTTGCCCATCACTGCACTGAATCCTCCTTTCCCGCTTCCGGCCTGGGCCCCACCGCCCTCTTTCCCTGGTCCCCACACCACGTGCTCTTGCTCACTTCTCTCCTCATTCCTCCTGCTTCCCCACTGCCCTTCTCAATCCTTCTCGAATGTTCCATCCATCCCCTTTTCATCTCCTCTCCTCTGGGTCCCTCATCTTCCCCCGTATCCTCTGCCCTGCTTTGTCCTCTGGCTCTCGGGACCCACCCTCACCCGCTCCGCCTTCCCCACCTGCCAGCTGCCCCTTTCTACTCTTCCCCCCCCCCCCCCGCCCCCCCCCCCCCCCCCCCCCTCCCTCCTTCTCTGCCCCCCAGGGGGCCCCCGGAGATGCTGGGATGTCCATCGTCGGTCCCCGCGGCCCCCCGGTAAGTGGCTCTTGCCCTTCCTCGGGGTGGGGGGATGGGTGAGTTAGTAAAGAGGCCTGTGGGGGGCCAGCGCGGGTCCTGGCCACGCCTCTGGGTGTGACGGCCACCACGGGGACGCAGTCCGCTGGGCCAGGCCTCACTGCTGCTGATGTTAAAGAAAGCGGCCTGACTAAACCGACCTCAGTTACAGCCTCTCGGTAGGGTTCACAAGGCCATACCCTGTAGCCGTGAAACGACAGCAGCTGTGAGGCGGCCCTGCTGTTCACAGGCAGAGGGCGAAAGTGCTGGCTCCTCTCCCGGGAGGGCGGTGGTGGCCGTGCTCCGGCTTCCCGGGGACACGTTCCAGAAGCCCAAGAAGCAGTTACCCCAGAGCCCAGGTCTCCTGAGCCAAGCACCCTCTCCTGCTCTTGACAGAGCCCAGCCCGCCTCTCACCCTCAAAGGCCCTGGTTCTGTGCTCAGTGCTGGGTCCCAGTCCCCCCCACCCAGTGGCTGGGGGCTGGGGAAAAGCAGAGAGCCTTCCCCTCAGATAGGCTTCCTTAGGGACCAAGGGGGGGGGGGGGGGCGTGGGCGATGCTGCGGGAAGATAGCGTGACTATGGGAAGGAGGAATGGCTGTTTTTCTCAGAGCGTCCGACCCAAGGGACTTCGATTAAATCGCCAAATGTCGGGGTGGAAAGGACCTCAAGGATGGTCTAGCACGTCCTTCTCAGAAGGGGAAACTGAGGCCTGGGGAGAGGAAGGGGCTTGGCCAGGGTCCCACACATAGAGGCCGAAGCAGCGTTAGAACCCAGGACCCCGGGCGCCCAGGGCTCCCCCCACAGCAACAGGCTGCAGTCTCCATGCTCTGCTGTGCTCTTTTCCTGCCCTGCTGTGCATGGTTGAGAGGGGTAGGGACACAGAGGCCTAGCCTCATGCTCCCAGAGCCTAGCCCAATGGGTGATGAAGCCCCCCTACCCATTCCCCTGCGTTCAGTGGGAAGCAGGAGGCTCCTAGCCACTGACTAGGGAGAGGAGGGGGGTCAGAGAGCAAATTGCTAAGCTACATGCAAGGCCCTGATGGCTCTGCAGCCAGGAAGGGGCTATGGTGAGAGCTGGGAGCAGAGAGGGAGAGCCGAGAAGGTCAGAGAGGGCAGCCGAAGGATGGAGCTGGGGAGCAGGGCCAGCGGGCAGGCCGGGGGCCTGGACTGGAGGCAGGGCTTGAAGGGGCCTGGGCTGCGTGGACAGGCCTTCCCTGCAAGGTTTCTACCAGCTCAGACCACGCGACAGTGCTGAGAGCTGACACTTTGCACTTACTCTGTGGCAGGCAGTATCCTAACACCTTTACACATAGTAGCTCACTTAATCCTCACGAGAACTCCACAGGTAGGTACTATTAGCACCTCCATTTTATAGATGAGAAAAGCAGGGCACAGCGAGGCCGAGTGACTTGCTGAAGGTCATACATGAGAGTGTGGCCATGGTGCTGGGATTTGACACTCAGCCCGGGTCTACACTCTGACCCCTGATGCTACCCAGCCACGGGGTTCCCATCACCTGTGCTTCTGGCTCACGTGGCCACCGTCCCGGTGGGCTGTAAGCCCCCTCGTGTACTGGGGGAGCCACAGTGTGGGTGCCCTGAGCCCAGGTGGGGTACCCAGCCAGGGGGCGACCAGGACATGGGGAGGTCACAGAGAAAGACAGTCCCCCAGGTTCCAACGACAAGGACGGAGTCTGGGGTGGACCTGTTAGGAGGACAGGGCAGTAACACAGAATTCAGGCCCTGCCCTTTGGCCAGCATCTCTGCCTGCCTCCTGGTCTGACCACAGATGTTCCCTTGTGTGGATCAGGCTGGTCCTCTCACCCTCTTAGCAGCATCTTAGCAGCAGTGTCATGTCAGCTGGATACCTAGAAGTGGTTGAAAAGGCCTCACTTCTGGAGAATATGCTCCGGGGGCAGGGTCTGCCTCAGCTCCCCCTGCTTCCAGCCCAGCATGTATAAATATACCCACCGCGCTGGACATGGTTCCAGTGGTGAAGAGTACCTTCTGTTCCAGTAATAGCAATAGCTTCCCTCTCCTGGACACCTAGGAGACATGCTAGGTCCTATACTGAAAGCCTGTGTATGTGCCAGCCTCCTCCAGTCCCTCCGGCCCCCAGGAAAGCTGCCAGCCCATTTCACAGAGCGGGAAACAGAGGTCCATAACTGGCCTGTGGTCACACGGCTCCTCAGTGCTGGAGCTTGGTTTGGGCCCGGTCGGCCTCATTCCAAAGCCAGCATTCTTTCTCCAACACCGCCTTCCACGTTTTAAGCTCTACTGTTTAAAAAGGATATTTACCTTGAAAAAACAATCCTCCCTGTGAGTGTTGTGTTGATGTTGGGAGAGGCTTTATGGCACCAGGAGGCTTGATCAAGCCCAGTGTCCTCGGATTTTGGCCTGTGTGTGTGACCTTCACCCAGATGGCTGGGGCCGCCCCTGCTGAGTCCTCGCTAGACACCAGGGCCACCCCCTTAGCTCCTCCTAGGAAGCCACCTGGAGCTGCTGAGAGCAGGGGACCGCAGAAGACCATGGGACCGATTGCAATTAAGGGGTAGAGGTCAAGTGGGCAAGCCCTCTGCGGCCCGGGATGATGGGGAACATGTGGCTTTCCACTCAGCCGGGAAGGGCCTAGGACACATGCTGCTAATGAGAACCAGCCTTGCCACTCTCAGGGGCCACCTGCCTCCTGTCTTGCAGCTTTGTAAACGGTCCGTGCAAAGGGGGCACCATCCAGGCACTTTGGAGAAGGATGGTTCACATTCCAGTGAGGCAAGGTGCCGGAGCAGCGGGCCCCATTAAACTGAGTGGGAGGCTGGGACTCTGAGATGCTGGCTGACCCCACAGGCACTGGGGAGGTCAGCTGCCAGGCTAGGAAATGCCCCCCATCTCAAAGGGAGCTCATTCTTTCCCAGAGACCCCAGGTTCTCTCCATGGGCCAGGAGGAGCTGTCTGAACTTCCAGCCCTCATTCACAAGGAGACACCAGGTCAATACACCCGTCGAGTGTTTCTTCGTTTATTCGTTCCATTAATATTTGTCAGGCACCTACGACATCCTAGGTGCTGGGTAGAAGATGAAAACCTGACTGCAGCCCGCTTGCCCCTTTGCAGAGAGAAGCCATCCCATAGTGATTATAGTACAGACAGTCAGCGCTCAGCTGGGGATGGTTAGGGAGCTGTGGAAGATGAGGAGACACCTGACTTGGGGTGAGGGCAGGCAGGGAAGGCTGCCGGGAGGAAGAGGTAACTAAACTGTGATCAAGGAGGAACAGAGGTCCCAGGTACCAAGGCTGGGGAGGAGTGCTGAAACTCCAAGGCAGGAGCGGTTCCCGTAAACTACCGGAGAAATGGGGAAAGTTCTTTCCAGAGCAAAGCAAGAGCAAGGATGGTGAGAGAGAGGTTGGTGAGGTAAGCAAGGGCCCGATCATGAAGGACACAATGTTCAGGAGTCAGGATTTTACCCCGAGGGCAGTGCAGACCCCTTGGGTTGTGTTCTGCTGAGGAGGAACACGATCAGACTTGCAGTTTAAAAAGCTCCCCAGGGGCTTCCCTGGTGGCGCAGTGGTTGGGAGTCCGCCTGCCGATGCAGGGAACGCAGGTTTGTGCCCCGGTCCGGGAAGATCCCACATGCCGCGGAGCGGCTGGGCCCGTGAACCATGGCCGCTGAGCCTGCGGGTCCAGAGCCTGTGCTCCGCAACGGGAAAGGCCGCGACAGTGAGAGGCCCACGTACCGCAAAAAAAAAAAAAAAAAAAGCTCCCCTGATCCTTCCTGCTCCAGCACGGAGCATGCTTAGAAGAGGCTGCAGGTACGGGGCTGGCAGAAAGGGACTTGTAATCGTCAAGGCCTGGACTGGAGCACAGTCAGTGGGGCTGGTGGGAGGGCTGGACTGGCGAGATATGTTGGAAGGGGAACTGACGGAATTTAGTGATGATAAAAATGGGGATTGACGGAGAAAGAGGAGTTCAAGGTGACCCCACCTTTCAGACTTGAGTAGCGGAGTGCCTGGCAGTGCCCTTCCCCAAAGGGAGAGAAGCAGATTTTGCGGGGGCAGATGAGTTCAATCTGAAGGTGATAGATTTGGGATGTCCTTGTAATGTTTGGCCTTCCGTTTGCTGCCGGAGGTCAGAGGGAGTGGAGGCGGCTCACGAGGGTGGGTCATACACACCCTTTCCCAACTCTGCATTCAGTGACATCACTTTTCAAGCTTAAAACGGGCTGTGGTGGGAGTATTTACAGAATCACAGATTTACAGAAATTGGCAAATGCTGTACAAAGCAGGGCTCTCCTCCCCCACTCTCCCCAACGTGATTAAGCATTTACCAGCAGAGTCTTGTTTAAAAGATAGCCAGCACTGACTTGGGGTAGCGGAGGTAGAATAAGGCAGGCTCTGGACAGATCCACGACTGACCCTCTTTCAGGGGTTAGATAAGAGGGAAGGGAGAGCTCCTGGTAGTGTCCTTCCTACCAGAAACTTCAGTTTGTCTGTGTTGCTTTACCCCACACAAGTGCAGGCAGGAGGAAGGTAGGGAGGAGTAGACGTAGGTCCACTTCCGAAAAACAGGGATGCACTTCGCTCCCTCTCTTCCCTGGCCTCGAATTAAAGGAGGAGATTTTAGAGAGCAGTGTAAAGCTTATTTCCCTTGTTCTTGTATAGAAGGATATAACATTAATCTGTAAATTAATCTTCAAAAAAATCTATCCACAATTTTAACATGATCCTAATACCCATGAATCTGGGGGGTGGAGTTAGGAGTCCAACAAAATAACATTTAATTTCATTTGGAAAAATAAAAGTTATGAGAATTTCAGAAACTTTTTGAAACATAGAGTAAGGGGGGTAGGGGAGGAGGGGTTTAGTTGTTCTACCAGCCATCAAAACGTATTATAGAAACAGAGCAATTAAAACAACAAACAGAACAGAAGTAAAGTCAAACGCATCTGGGAATTTGGTCCATGATAAAGGCTTCATTTCACAATAGAAAGAGAAGATAGATTGTTCAGGAAATGATGCTGAGACAACTGACAAACAGTTTAGAAAGCAGAGTAAATTTCAAATGAACAAAATACTCAGATGTAAAACATGCAGCCATAAAATATGAGGACAAAGCATGAGCAAACATTTATAATTCTGAACTGAGGAAGTCCCTTCAAAACATGACCTCAAGACTTCCCTGGTGGTGCAGTGGTTAAGCATCCACCGCCTGCCAATGCAGAGGACACGGGTTCGAGCCCTGGTCCAGGAAGATCCCACATGCCACGGAGCAGCTAAGCCCATGCGCCACAACTACTGAGCCTACGCTCTAGAACCCGCAAGCCACAACTACTGAGCCTGTGTGCCACAACTACCGAAGCCCACCTGCCTAGAGCCTGTGCTCTGCAACAAGAGAAGCCACCACAATGAGAAGCCTGCGCACCGCAACGAAGAGTAGCCCCCGCTCGCCTCAACTAGAGAAAGCCTGTGCGCAGCAATGAAGACCCAACACAGCCAAAAATTAATTAATTAATTAATTAATTTTAAAAAAAAACATGACCTAAAACCCAGAAGCCATAGGAAAAGATTGATATGTTTGTCGGCATAAATGTAGAACTTCCACACGGCAGAAAATATACCATAAAAAAGATAAATGCCAAATTGGAAAGAATATTTGCAACACATATGACTCTCAGTTACTATTCTTGACAAAGAGCTCTACTCAAATCAGTAGGAAAAAGATAAATGTAGTAGGAATTATTGGTAAAGAATACAAACAGGCAGTTCACAAATAAATAGGATGGGTCAACAAACATTGGAAGAGATGTCCACCTTCAGTATAGATATGAAGACATGGAAACTAAGATCCATTTCCAAGCCTCTCCAAGTGCCTCACCAAGGCCCGACCTCTCCAGGAAGTAGAGTCCCAGTTTCCATTTGGTCAATGACAACATTCTTCCCAAGATCCCTGAAAAAGCTTTGGTTAGCCCTGGCTTTGGCTCTGGGTGGGAGAGATGCGTCCTGCTACCAGGGACAGCTCTGTAATTAGCAAACCATGTGATTATCCGTACCATGTAAACATTACCCAGAGTGGGACTTGAAGATGTTTCTTGGAATCCTCTCCTCCTGACCTTTTCTTCAGGCCTCTCAGCATTCAGCGTAGCTGGAAGTTTACACTGGGTGGTTTCCAGGTTTTCTTCTTAGTGCTATTCTTAGCATCACTTATCCTTGAGAGGAGAGAGGCCTGGGGCCCTTCTGGTACATGAGTGGCATCTCCACGCTCTTGCCCTCTGGGATGCTTCCCACAAGCCCATCCCGGGCCCACAGCATGCTCCAGCTGGTTCCCTGCCTGGACCCTGGCAGCAGGGGCCCCATCCCACCCAGCCTTGTCCCCTGAGCATATCCCCCGAACAGAGGCCTCTAGGCATCCATGTCCACAGCTTCAAGGAAGACCCAAGCAGCCTGGAGGTGTTTCAGGTTTACAGCAGTTGGACCCAGAGGAATCTTCCTCTGGATAAGGGCCAATTCCGAAACTACTGCTTGGCAAGGACAAACCTCCATTGATCCTAAGACATTGGATCAAAGACAACCTTGCTTTATTCTGGTGCTCCTAGGTTCAGTTCAGTTTAACAAACACCTGATGATGGCAGCTACCATTTCAATAGGCTTTGCAAATATAGCTGAACGACCCTATGAGTTCATACAGTTATCCCCACTCTATAGATGAGACTGATGCACGGGGAGCTTAAGCCATTTGCTCAGAGTCACAGAGCCATTGGTGGCCGTGGAGACACGATTAGAACTCAGGCTACCAGAGTCAAAACCCCAAGCTCGGGAAGAGACTGAGGCCATCTCAGTCAAGGGGAGACTTCAAGCTGACAGCTAATCGTGTGAAAGGTGCGATGTGTCCACTGGAAGGCAGGTGAGCCAGGGTGCCCAAGCAGAGAGTAGGTAGGAAGATGAGGCAGGAAAGGAGCTAAAATGGTGCATCAGGATGAGAGTGAGGCTGACCTTGAATGACATGTGAGCAGAAGAGAACCCTTGCTGGTTCTTGAGAAGCGGAGTGACAGGACCCAGGTTTCTTAGCTCTCCATCACCCTGGACCTCCTGGTCAGCCCGTTCCAGCCCTGGGTCTGCACAGCCTCAGGCTTCTTCTCACCTCCGCACTTCTCTTTTGTCCTGAATCTGGCCAGTGAACCTGCTTCTAATCTCCAACCTGAATACCGAGATCTGTGCACTCTGTACCTCCGGAAAAATGGACATGATCGCTCTGCATCCCACAAAGATTGGGGGACCCAGAGATTACCCAACCAGGAGAGCCCTATTAGCCAGGGCGAGAGGACAGTGGGCAATCCGACCTGTTCTGGTCTGAAAACACATTCCAAAGGCCAATTTCTGATATCCAAACCATCGTTAGATAGGTGACCATGAACAATGACTGTGTAGATGAAGCAGACTTAGACAATCCCAGTCCAGGAGTTCAGCGTGCTGTAGGCTGTCCCCATTGTCCTTGCTCTCCATCCCATTCCCATGCCGAGGTTCAGAGCATCTGGGTGGGCAGTGAGGAGCTCTGGGAGGCTACTTCCCAGAAAAACCCAAAGGATGCTGGCCACTTGCTTTTCCCTTCCCCACCCCACTCCCTGGAGGAGATTTCCTATGATGGTCCATCTCCTTTCTCCATCCTGCCTCCCAGCCTGTGTCTCTCACGGATGATCACAGAGGAGTGGGAGGGAAACCACTGATCCTCTGGGAGCCAAGGTGAACGGGGGACTAAGGTGTGGCTTCCTCTCCTCCTCGCCCACACTCACTCCTCTCCTGCTCTTTTCAGGGTCAGCCAGGCACTCGAGGTTTTCCTGGATTTCCGGTAAGTGGAGAGGACTGGTCAGCTGTGCCCCCTGGCGACTCCTGGGCCTGGCTGTGTTAAACTTCAGGCAGGGCCGGCCCTCAAACTGCTTTTGCCATTCCTCATTCCCATCGGTAAGGACCCTCTCCTGCAGCCTTTCGTGGAGAGTAACTGAGGAGAGTAGCCCAGCGCTCGGCTACAGTGCAGGAGGGGACAGGGACACCAACACGGAACTGCAGGGGTGGCAGACAGGACAGGCTGTGAAGCCACAGGACCCTGGACCGTGGGGCAGATGACGCACCACTCGGAGGCCACCTCTGACCTGGCTCTGAGAGCAGATCCGCCTGCTGGGGGCAGTCATGTGGCCATCTGGATGTCCTGGGAGCCCTGCCTAAGGCCTAAGACAGATTATGAGAGGCGGTCAGGGAGCAGCCAGCTCCCCCTTTCCCGCAGGCCTCGGCGCTGGCCAGCCCTGCTTTCCAGGAACACGCCCTCCACTTTCCACTAGAGGTGAAAAGGACTTTGACGCCATGGTGACTGCCACCCGTCAGGTTCTCCCTCGTGCCAGCACGGGGCAGGGGGCATCTCGTTCACTCCCAAAGACCCCTCATGGGAGATTCTTTTACTCCCCACTTTAGAATGGGACAGCGAGGTTTAAGCTTACCCATGGTCTCATAACAGCAAGTGGTGAAGCAGAGATGTGAACCCTAACTCGTTACAGTGCAGGACCTGTGCCCTTAACTGCCTCCCAAGCTGCCTCTCTGCCAGGACAGCTATGATGCTCAGTCTTTACCTCTGGCCTCTTTCTCTTTCAGGGTCCCATTGGGCTTGACGGCAAACCGGTGAGTGGACCCTCTCGGGCTATGGGCTCCCCCCACTTAGTCCAGGTCACGAACCCAGGGTCTCCTAGTCCTTCTGCGAGACTCCGACTCCTTGGAAGACGCTTCAGATAAAATGAACGTTCTTGGGGCGGAAAGTCGTTGCCAGTGGGAAGGGGAGGAGAGGCCATTTGAAGGAGTTGCCCTGTCCCCCATGAGCCTCCCCTGGGCACAAGTCCACGGCCTCCAAGCTGCGCACTCAGTATCTGGAGCAAGAGCCGTCCTAGAATCTGCTGATTCCAGGGCCTCCTGGAAGGGGCTGGAAGGCAGTGAGGCAAGGAGGCCGCGGGAGAGGAGAGGGCTGGAGAGCTCTGGCTCGCGCCGTTGCCCCCAGCCCCGCAGGGCGCCTCCTGTGTGCCGCTCGGCGTCTCCATCTCGGTCGAGCCCCAATACGTGCCCAAGTCCACATGGAGGCTGCTTCCCGTCCAGAGCTCCTCTCTGCTCATCTCAGTCCTTTTCACCGGGCCCCAGACGCACACGTTCATGGGAGGAGCCCTGTGTGACTGGGGGGTGGGGCTGGGGTGCAAACGACTCACCCAGCACTCGTGCTCCTCTCCTTCCAGGGCCGCCCCGGACCAAAAGGGGAGACGGTAAGACCCAGCTTTCCTGCCTTCCCTCGAGGGGTGCGGGGGTCAGCCTAGCCCTCACGGGCCACAGAAGCACTGCCCCGCAGCGGGAGTGGCCGCCGCATGGTCACTCCCCGGCTGGGTGTGACGCGTCCCCCTAGGTTCCTCGCTCAGTGCAGGGAGGAGAGGCAGCAGGGGGGCTTCTCCACCTGAAGAATGAGGAAAGGGAGGTCCAGAGAACGTCTGCGCTTGGCCAGTGTCACACAGAATTAGCAGCTAGTGTTCCCAAACCGCCACTCTCGTCCAGAACTCACAGCGGGGCCGAGGGGTACCCATCCGGCACTTCGTCCTGAGCCTGATTTCCTCATGCTCCCTGCTCTGGGCCGCCCAGGGCTCCAGGCGCTCCTGCCCCAGCCGGGCACAAGGCAGACCTGGAGAAGCAGACCTCTGCCCCTACCTTCCTCCTGGCTCCTTCCCACCTTCTGGAGAGCCTTAACCCAGTCCGTGCCACCCCGGAAGGAACAGTGATGGCCCTCAGCAGACTGCTCTGTAATCCTCCCAACAGCTTATCATCCCCACTCTATGAAAGGGCAGATCAAGGCTCAGAATGGTTGTGTGTATTGCCTGAGGTTACACAACTCCTGAATAACAGAACAGGGAGTGAGACCCACGTGGTAGGCCCTTACCCTCCACCATGTCTCCTGCTGCTGCCAGGGCCCTTTGTTTAGAAAGAAAGGGACCCTTCTAGGGGACTCCCCTTTCTGCCATCCCTCTGCCCCACCCCACTTCACCCCCCGTGAGTCTTCCCCATCTGTTCCGGGGTCAGAACTAACTTGAACAGGGAACGGTAGGGCCACCCCTTCTCCCATGAGCTCACATCAGTGTGTTAGGTCCCCCGTCCACCTCGTAGTCGTCCTTCAAAATCCGACAGGCCACAGAGCCATTAGGCTTCTGTTTGGCTTGGCACGGGGACCCCAAGCTATTAATTCAACACGCTGTCTAGTGTAATTATCTTAGCCTGTTTATCACCTGTCCGTCTCCCACTCGCCTCCCTTCCTGGATGGTTTACCTGCTGCTGGGTATCCAACATGGGGGGCTGGGGCTCACCCTCACATGCTTAACCTGTGCCCTCACCTGTCAGAAGGGGGTCACCTCTGCCCCACCCACCTCACAGGAGCCCCGAGAATCTGATGTAAGGCGTAGACAGGACCGGGGCCCCCCAAGTGGCGTAAAAGAGAGCCAGGACTCTGCATTCACGGCTTGTCCCACAGCTCACAGGGCTGTGCTAAGGACGAGAGGAGTTAATTCACACCAAGTGCTTAGAACAGCACCTGGCACAGAGGAAGCACGACAGGTGCCAAGCTGGCACATCGCCCTGACCTGTCCTAAAGGGGCAGGCTCAAGAGCTAATCAGTGCCCTGTGTTGTTGGACCTTGAAATACTTAAAAGAAACTTGAAATTCAGATTTTTGTTGTACTCTCCTTGCTCTTCAGTATTTCAGTTTATTGAAATAAAACTGTGTGGGATCAACAAAATACCTTGGGGACCATGATTGTCCCATGGGCCGCCATTTGGGACGTCTGGACTCAGTCCTCCAAGTCTCTGCAGTCCCAAGCCTTTGGGTTCTTCCTCTGGGCCCCTGGCCCTCCTTCTCTCATCACACCCCTCTCTCTGTCCCAAGAGAGGGTGGCCTGGTCCCCTGCAGTCTGACTCCCTGCCATATGCGTCACATTCTGCTAAACTTGATGCTAAACACTTAGTGAACCGCATGGGCTGGGGCGCCACGTGGCTTGTCCCAAAGACCACGTGTCCCTTCCCACGAACCTCCTAGGAATTTCCCAGTTTGGGGGTTGGTCCAGTTGTCAAGTTGGGGACAAAAGAAGGCTTTCCTCCCACCCAGATGGATCTGTCCATGGGCATCCTGAGGTCTTCAAACCCCAAAGAGACTGGCCTGGCAGGTGGGTCCTCATAGGCCCTCAGGAAGGCCTGCAAGATGGAAGGGAGCTCAGGGCCCCAGAGGCTGGGACACTGCCTGTGGCTCCAGCCAAGTTTAGAAGCCCTGCCCCCTGAGGTCCAGCCCAGTTCAGAGCGCGTGGCAGAGTGGACACAGCTGGACCTTCACGGTCCCAGTGCCACCACTCACTGAGCCACAGGGTCTTGTCTCCGTCACCTTGTCCGGGAGATGGAGTGACGCCAGCGCCTTCCTCTCGGGCCAGCGCGGGTGTGACTCAGCACATCCTGAAAGCCTTGCCTCCGAGGGGATCCTCAGAACAAGGTGCGCCATCCTACCCCCTCCCCTCCACACTGGCCGAGCGTGAAGCCTTCTCAGCACCGGCCTTGGGTCAGGCTTCTGAGAGACCCAGCTGGACGCCATGTCCTCCTCAGAGAACTGAGGATGGCTTAAGTCGCCCACTTCCTGCTTCCTCTTTGGCCAAAGGTTTCTCCAAAACCCCCAAAGTCTGCAGCGCTGCCCCAGCCCCCGTGTCCCCAGAAGCCCTTCTGGTTCAGTGGGGTTGATGCTGAGGCCTCAGAGGGTAGGAGTTAGAAGGTGCTTTTGGCTCCGTGAGGACATGGCGTGAGTGTGCAGTAGCAGAGCCCTGCCTGACGTGGCCACGCAGCCTCCTCCGTGGCTGGCCCACAAGATGCTGGCGGTTGCGGGAATGAATGAAGGATGGCACCTGTTCTTCATCGCGGCCGCGTGCGGGGGGCAGGGCACACCTAGTTATGTCCACGGGTGGATGAAGGAGCCGGGCCACGCCAGCTGGAACATCTCGAGCACCGGAAGACCTGGTGTGGGTGGCCAAGCCCAGCCTTCGGGACTGCAGGCTTTCCAAAAAGTTCCTTGTACAATCCCGTGCAGGCCTGCATCTCTGATTCTGCCGCCTTCTGTGCGCCACTGACCTCCCCACAGGGCTTGGCGGGTACCTCGCCCCAATGTTTCCCAGCAGAGAGGCTTTGGGCCCTGAGTCCTTAGCCTCTGTTTCTAACTGTCTTATTTCTCTTCTTAGGGACCTCCAGGACAAAAAGGAGAAAAGGTAAGCCGATGGAGGTTTTCTAGAATTTTCATCTCAAGAAGCAGCCTTCCAACAGGTAGAAAGGATTATTTTCAAACTTCAGATTTTATCAACAGAACCAGGGGAATCCCCTGTACCCTGTGGTACATGGTATATGAGAGAGAGAAGGGAAGCTGCCCTGCGTGGGGTTCTTTTGCGGGGAAGGCATGGCCTGGAGCCTGGTCCTTCTCAGCCTCTTTCTCTGCCCATCCTGCCTGCCACCCCCATGGTATTTCCTGAGCACCTCCATGAGCCTCTAGGATTTTGAGGTGTCAGTTTGTAAACCACTGGCCTGGCCCTCTCCCCAGCCTCCTACCTTCTCTGCTTCCTTGAGTCTCTGATGGGGGCTCTTCTGGGCTTGCCCCCGGGCAGATGGTGCAGGGACCTGGCACCCGCGGCTCCAAGAAGGCGTCTCCGAGGGCCCCGTTGCCCATAGCCTGCCTTGGTGTCTACTGTTCCCTTCCAGGGGCTCCTGTTCAGAGCCATTGGGTGGACCCACCCAGAGGGTCAGCCTTTCCGGAAGATACTTCCAGCCAGGCACGGAGCATAACTCGTGACTCTGCCGTCATGGCATGTGATGTATGGCGGCAGAGTCCTGCCCTTGGCTCTGTGGAGCCACGTCCGGGCAGGCCCTGGAGGTTACCTGCCTGCTGCCAGCCAGGCTCGAGGGAGGGAATCAGTTCTCCTGCCTGAGAGAGCTCAGCCCAAGACAGAGCGGGGCAGGCGGGTGACGCACATGCATGGTGCGTCCCCAAGTCCTGAGGTTGCCCCCGAGGTACAGCCCCCCAACAAGGGCCTGATTCCTCCTCTCCTTCCTTCTCTTCCCCAGGGTCAGTGTGGAGAGCACCCACACCGGGTAAGTGAACCCCGAATACTGATCCATCCCTGGAGCGCAGCCCCCAGTTTAGCCTCATCTTCTTCCCTACAGAGCTTGGAGACCAGGCGCACACAGCGCCCCTTTGCACTCAGCAGCCCGAGTGGTGCCACGACGGTGCTGGGGTGTTTGGCCAGCTCCTGGGGTGTGCCTGGCAGTCAGTGTGTGTGTGTGTGCAGAGCTGCGTGTCTTTGTATGTCTGCTCCTGTGCGGGCTGGGCCTGCGAGCCCCCAGCGTGTGTGTATCTGGAACTCTGCACGCCTGGCTGTGTGCCCCTCTGCACGTGGCCTTCACCGTAAGGCTGTGCAGCTTGTGTGAGTCTGGGTCTGGCTCCCTACCCAGCGTGCGTGTGCGTGTGCGTGTGCGTGTATGTGTGTGTGTGAGAGAGAGAGAGAGACAGCTTGTGTGTGTCCATCTGCCTGCCCTGGTGGAATCAGAGGGACTTTGGGGTTAGTCATTGTTTCAGAGGACCCAAACCTCCATGGTGGGAGATAATTGGAGGCTGACTGAATCAATTCAAGGGTAAAGTCTCTGTTTTGCTTCTTTAAGAATCAAGGAAGCCCCTCCAAGTGGAGTGGGGGATTTCAGGGCTGGGATGATCTCCTATGCCCCCTTGGCCCTGCCCAGCTCCTTCCTTTCCCTTGCTTCAGCCCAGGATACAGAGCCCAAAGTCTGCTGTCATCCTATCAGGAGCCCTCAGATGTGTGTGCCAACATCAGAGAGCCATTCTCGGGGATGGGGGGGAGTGAAGGTGTGCAGGAGCCCCAGTGAGCTGGGACCCGAGAAATGCCCCTCGTTTTGTGGATCGGCCTTGCCTCTCTCAGTGGAGCATCTTTAGGTGTCCATCCCCCTGTCATAGGCTGCATCGTGCCCACAAACACACACACAGTGTGGCTGCCCTGGGTGCCCACCCCTGCCAGGGAGTGGTCTTGAGGGTGTGGAGAGAAGCACAAGCCAGACTCAGAGTCGGTCAGCTTGGCTCCAGAAGACCGCTGGGAGGGCCTTGCTGGCAGGGTCCGGCCACTCAGACTCTGACCCCTGGTTCCCAGGCCAGGGGGAGGCCAAGGCGGGGACAGCCTTGAGCGTCAGTGGCTGGGGTGGGGGCGAGGCCAAGACTGGGCAGGGGGCACAGGCCGGCAGCAGCACAGACAGAGCCAGCCTGTCAGCGGCATGTGCTGCAGGGAAGCAGGGGCCCTGGTGTTCCGGCCAGCCTGACCCTGATACAATAATAGAAGGTCAGCTGTGTTTATTTGAAGCGATGGGCTCACAGGATTGTTATGTTACCCAAAAGAAAGACAGCATCCCCCGGCACAAAAGACAACACAACTTAGACACTTTGACAGTGTGTCATCAGCCCCGAGAGAACGCATGGGGCCGGTTGCCCTTCAGCGCAACCCAAGAAGAGGGAGCTGGTGGGGAGAGAAGGCTCCACAGGGCCACAGGGCTCAGAGGAGCCCAGGGTATGGCTGCGCCAGTGTGGGTAACGAGTCAGGCCGGGTGAGCATGGATTTGGGGATCCAGCCGCTGGGCTGGGCAAGGCAGCTGGCACCTTCTGTTTATCTGGAAGTGGGTAGGAAAGCAGGGTCCTCCTAGGGCAAGGCGTCTGTTAGCTTTCTGAGGGGACTGCAGACCTGATGGGGGTGGCAGGCCTCCTGGCCTGCAAGGTACAAGATCCAGGTGGTCCGGGCCCCTGTTCCAGCCTGTAGCATCCCCAGGGAGGGAGGGGGAGGAGGGGTGCCCTGGGACGGGGAGCTGGTGTCTGGGCCTGGCACTCACTCTCCCCATTGCCCTGTCTCCACCTCCACCCCTACCCCACACCAGGAGTACCTAAGCAGGTCTCTAGCAGCTCTGCGCTCCAACCAGATAATTACCCTGAAGGTTTGTAGGTTCTGGAAGGTCTCCAGGCCCCTCTGCTTAGAGGCTCCCTAGATGCAGAGCCCAACATTGCACGTCCCCAGGCCCCACAGCGGGAGGGATGGGGCCGCCCATGAGGGCAGCAATGACCTGGAAAGGCCACGATTGGGCTCCCAGGTCCCTAGCTGGGTGCATCCTCAGCCCAGGCGGCCCCTGCTTCTAATCATCCCAGTGGCCTCATGTGAGTCACAATGCTTTCAAAAACGAGAGGTGGATTATATGCCATCTTTCTTTTCACGTGGGTCCTAACCTCTTCCGAAAGCGGAGCGCTCAGCACCCATGGGTTGAGAGTCTGGAAACAGCAAGAATTTCCAGAAATGAAAATTACATTAGATAACATGATTGCAAGTTGCCTCCCCCCAAAAAAGTGGTTGAACATGCAAGAGACGTCTTTGTCCAGTGTCTGTTTTCCAAGCCCACTAGCCCCAGGGTGAGACCTCAGTAGCACTTAGCTGGTGCCCACACTGGCCACACCCTCGGGATCGGGCTTGGCTCTGCTTTTGACCATCCTCCCCAGATCCGCTGACACCAGCCCTTCTCGTTTAGCCAAAAAAAGAACCCAGAGGTCGCCACACACCAGCCTGGCTTCAAGTACCAATTTAGGGTGGTCCTGTGGCTCCCAAGCCAGAGCCTCGGAGTCTGCTCCCCTCAGCCCAGCAGCCTCTGTCCGTGACCAGGGACCAGCGGGGCTGTCAGTGCAATGTTGGGCCGCATGTTAGGAGGCCTCTGTGACCCAGCTTGGCCATGGAGGGCAGGTCTGGCCAGGGGGGCCACTCTCCCAGTCGGGGAGTGCTTCTGGCCAATACCCCAAGGGCCCGCCTCCTTCCAGGGATGGGGTGCCATCTAAGGGCAAGCTCAGCACTGCACCCACAAGCATCAAGCGCCCCGCCCACGCCCTCCCTCCTGTGCCTCACGCTCGCTAATCTCTCTTCTCTCTTCCTCTCCTCCCTCCTTCTTGGTCGCCCTGCCATCCTGGTGGACTTTCAACCCTCCTGAACCCCTGCGATCTTTGGCCTTTGCCCTCTGGCCTTCCAACTCATCTTTCTCCTCAGCTGCTGCCTCTCCTCAATTCAGTGCGGCTGGCTGCACCCCCAGTCATTAAAAGGCGGACCTTCCAGGTAGACACCTCCCTTTCCCAGACCACGTGGGGCTTCCCAGGGGCTGGCGAGTCTCTGGTCCCTGTCAGGCCAGCTGGGGCTATAGGTGAAGCGAGAATCTCACTGCACTCCCGTTACATTAATTTAGACAAAAATGGACTCACGAATGCCGTAGACGTGGAAATACACAACTCCCAGGCCCAGAAGCCACAACTACTACCCCACCATTACTACTGACGACAGCCATCACTGTGTACCGGCCACTGGCTATGCATTTCACAGGCCTCATTTCATTTAATTCTCTCCGTGGTTGTGTGAATTAGGCATGATCATCCTTATTTCACAGATGGGGAGGTAAGGCTCAGAGACATTAAGTAAGTTGCCTGAGGTCACACAGCCAATAAATTGCAGAGCACCCAGATTCTCCTTCTCTTATTAGCTGTGTGATGTGGGGCAAGTTACTTAACCTCTCTGCACCTCAGCTTCTCATTTGTAAAATGAGGATAATAACGGTTCCTACTGCGTAGGGTTATTGTGTATGTAGAGCACTAGGAATAATTCCTGGCATAGTGCTAGAATTAAATTGAGGCTCAGAGAGGTGAATTTGTACCTAAGGTCGCACAAACAACAAGAGGCAGAACGGGAACCGGCAGCCAGGTCTTCAGACCCCACGTCCAGAGCTCTCTCACTTGGACCTACACCCTTTATATTTAGAAATGCAGATTGCTTAGCATCCGATCACTTGTAACCTGAGTTTGAGAAGCGAGGGAATTTGCAGAGGAAATGTAGCCCACAACTGACAGGTGTAATCGTTGTGAGCAACTGCTCCCTTCTTCCTGCCTAACTAAGCCAAGGAGGCTGGGATAGGACCAGATCACAAAGAACGAGAGACCACAGACCCAGGGATCCAGGCATAGGCATTGCAGCTTGATGCCAGGCCAGGAATTCCATGGCTGCCACCCATGCCCGTAGCCTTCCTTACACTGGGGGTCAGGGGTTACCCCCAAGGCCACAGGGGTGCTGGAAGTGGCAGGGCTCCAAGATCCTCTCTGAAAACCTGACAGCAGGGCCTGGAGCCACCATCTGGCCTGACTCAGGAGCCAGGAGCCCGGAGCCCAGGGGCCTGCATGTTCAGGCACCTGACTGAACAAGGCTGAAAAATCACTCCAATTTACAGCTAAAAATACAGAGGGACATGTGACACACGTGCTACCCAAGCCTACATATCCCGTTACACCAGCCAAATCCTGAGAGCCTCCATGTGCTCCGAGCGCTTAGCCCAAGGCTGGCTATTCAGGGGGCCCACTGGCAGCTCAGAGAAGCACCAGGCCCACCCCGATCTCAGCCACCCCTACCCGTGTCAGACCCCATTTCAGGAGAGCCGAGTCCTTGCTCTCAGAGCGGCCATTCGCCTCAAGCCCCAGCAGCCACCTCCTGGCCTTAGTTGCATTAGCTGCTATGTGTTGAGCCCTTGCTGGGTCCCAAGCAGTGTTGTAAGAATTCTGTATGGGTTATCTCATGTAATCCGACATAGGCCACCCGGCAGTGGAGGTGGCATCATCGCCACCTCACAGACGAAGAAATTAGGAGGGGCCGAGGCATGTTGCTGCCTCCCTTTTCAAGAGCAAGAGGTGGATAAGCCAGAACTTTCTGTGTTGCCCTGACCTGATTTGCAAAGGAGAGAGAAGAATAGGGGCCCCTGTCCTGCCTGCTGCAGATTCTGCCTAGAGAATAAGGTTTTTATGCTGTCAGCCATGGTGGGACATAAAAAGGCTTGTCCATTTCCTATCAATAAACCAATATTGATTTCACAGGCTCTATAAGATGCTTAAACATTGGGTCTAACATTAGTTGAAAGAGGAAACTTTATATGACACACGAAGTGCTTAGCAGACGGTGTTGGAAGTCATTGCCAAAGTGCAGAAAGTTAGACTGTGAGCAGTTTTTGCTGGGGGCTTACTTGGAATGAATAGGAATAGTCTGGAGTTCTGAGCTTGGGTCCTGGCTCCCCCCAAATTCTTCTTGTGACCTTGGTTAGGGAGCTCGACTTCTCTGAGCCTCAGTTTTTTCTTCTGTAGAATGGGACTTGTGGCCCATTTCTGCACCTGCCTTCTCCACCATGGACACTCTGAGCCCTTAAGTGGCTTCTCAGAGGGTGTGGCAGGTCGCAGCCCAGGCCCCAGAGTGGCACTGCTGGTGGCATCTGCCCTAGGATGTCCCATCTGAGAGACGATTCAAGCCGATGCTGCTAAAATCTCGTTCTCGTTGTGAGGTCGCACGCTCCTATTTGTAATCATCGTTTTCCTCTATGGAGTTTGCAGCAAGCGTTGTCAGCTCCCTTTTTCACATAGGGAAGCAGCAGTGTCATAGAGGATTACTGAGATCACACTGGGAAGGGTGGGCTGGACTGGAGTCTGGCCGCCTGGGTCTCCCTGCATCCCAGCCTGGAGCGCTCACACCTGCCAGGCTGTTCTGCCTTAGTCTGTCTGCAGGGCTGGGTCCCCATCAAGAGCTGAGCGCAGAACCTCCCTGGAGAGGTCACGTGGAAAATAACATAATGACATTGGTCTGTGTAGATCTAGGATGACTCGGGCTGGCCCTCAGCCCCAAGATCTGGGTCACATGGACCGGGGAGCATGATCCCACCCCTACCTCCCTGGGCCCTGGGTCTACCCTGGGCACATGCACGGTGGGTGACAAAGGCTGGGGGATAAGGCAAAGGAATAATAATAGAGACTCCAGAGAGGCACAGAGCACTTTACACTTTCAAAACTCAACTGTCCCCTGAGGTCAGGTACAAATCACATAAGTGACAGAAGCAGGCTGCAGGCAGAAGGGATGCGGACGGGCCTGAGGCAGCTGGAGAGCCCAGTTGACGGCAGCCCCCCGGGAATGTGGGCCTAGCTGGCCAGGGCTCCCAGTTTTTCATCAGAAGCCACCAAGCCAAATGTTTTACATAAAATCTCTTGCCCAGTTATTTGGTGAGCCGAACAAAATTCTGTGGCCTCTGACCTAAGGATCTCAGTTGATCCTCTGGGCCAGATAATGAAAGACAGCAAAAAGCAGTGACAGGAAACAAGGAGCAGCTGTTCTCGTTTGATAGTTAGGAGGCCAGGGCACAGAGACGGTGGACTCGCCACGCAGAGGGAGGGCCCGAGACACGCCCAGGCTGCCGGCCACCTGGGCTGTACCCTGGCCATCTGAGCAGGCTGGGAAGAGGCCTTCGGTCGGGCGGGGGGGGCATCTCACCCGCTCCTCTGCCACCGCAGCAGAGCTCTGCCCTGGGGACCAGCAGCTGACGCAGCGAGTCCTCTCTGGAAGCCCCTCCTCTGGGGGCTAATGTCTTGGCCGTCTTCTCACTGCCACCAGCCCCTGCATGTAGTCACCACCACAGCACCATCACCATCACCCCACCACCGCCTCCCCCAGAGCCCACGGCAGGGCCTCACCGGGTGCATGGCACTGGGGCGGGACCGCTTTGCAGCCTGGGGCTCTCTCTCTAACACTTGTTTCCACGAACCTCAGGGTGAACAGGGCCAGGCCGGCATCCAAGGCCCACCAGGCCCTCCTGGACCAAGTGGACCTCTGGGGCCCCCAGGACTGCCAGGGCCCATGGGGCCACCCGTAAGTAACTCTCCCACTCTCCACTGCTTCCTCTCCTTCGAGATTTGTCCCAGGAATTCCCTGGAAGCTTCCAAACCTTTCATAACCCGTGGGAACCTGGGTCCCCACTGAACAGGCAGAAACACTTGACAAGGCCGCTGGATGTGGCTGGCCCCTGCAGGAGCTGCCTGTCCCTGTCACACCCGTTACACTCTGGTTCTGAACACACATCCTGAGACCATGTATTCCACTCCAGTCATTGCCTGCCAGGGAGGACACCACGAATAGGCGCCCCCTCCCAGGTTCAGCAGACAAGAGCTTGGAAAGAAAGTTCCCAGGGCCATTCTGATGGCTGTCTCCTGACCCCCAGGATTAGGAAAACCTGAGTTGGGCACAGTGTGTTCTATGGAGGTAGCAAGGGGGCATCTGACTGCCTGGCATCGCTAACAGACATTCTTTTGCTGGTGTGTGTGGGCTTCCACTCCTGGGCCACCTTCCAGCCAAGTTACACGTCTGGTCGGCCAGGAGGGCCCTGCATCGAGCCTGGGGATTGGACCACTGCCGGGAGGGCCCAGGGGGGGCCAACAGACGCCCCTCCAAGCAAGACCACACTCAGGCAATAGGTCAGTCCCAGTGTCCACCAGTCATCTGTTTGTAAACCCTGGCCAAGCCCCGACTCTTTCTCAACCCAATTTAGTGCAAGAAAGCACCAGGGCAGAATAACTTAGCAGGGCCTTGGACTTCTTTGGAGAAAATGGGTTCTCCACCCAGAGCTAAGACTAACGTCAGCAGTTACTGGAGGGATGGGGGTTAAGGACATAGTCTGTTTGATAATGTTTTTTCCACGTGGCTTTTTTTAAAAAAGTGTTTTTCTCTCTTATGACAAAGGCATCACACATTCATTGTGAAAAATCTGAAACATAGACAAAGTCTTAAATTGCATGCTTTCTCATATCCAGAGTTCCCCATCGTTAACATTGTGGAGAGTACTTTCCATTTTTCTCCTTAGATCTGCACATAAACGTTTTCCACGTTGATGATGTTCTGAATAATATAACATCCTGTTTGTATCCTGTTAGTTTTTTCCCTTAATATCGTAAACCATGCCCCTTCCTAAGTCAGGAGTCTCCTGTGATGTGGATTTTAGGACTGCTGGGTCTGTCTACAAAGTAGTTAATGAGTCCCCTTCCATATATTCTTGAACATAAATGTGCACATCTCTGATGCTTTCGTGGTGATAGATTCCCAAAGGTGGAGTTGCTGGGTCAGGGTGTCCCTGCCAAATAGCCCTCGAAGAGTACAGCCACATTCCATGTCACTTGGCTTCACATCTGGGCCCTCAGCTACCCCAGCTGCCAAAAAGCTGAGGTTCAGCGTAGGGTCCCCCAGGCTGGGCGACAGCTCTGGCAGACCAGGGTTGCCATCTTGGCCAGAAGGCGGCCCAGCAGAGTGAAAACCTAACTTGCTGGGAGCCAGCTCTCCTGTTCAGCTTGATCCCCGTAACGAATTTTAAATATTTCCATGATTTCTCCCCAGAACCCGGGGGAGGGAAGTTAGTCTCACTTCCATGGGTTTCTAGATGCAAAAACAGAAAACCTGAAAGGAAGTGAAATTTAGGGAATTGAACCAAACAAACCAAGCCAAGAAAACCAAAAAACAAGGCTCAAAGTTCACTTCTTTACTGACGGCCCTTGCCCAAACACTGGGCTCCCGATCACTGAACCCAAGCCAGGTGGTTTTCTTTGTTAGGTTGTTTATAAAGAGAAAAACCAGAAAGCATGTTTTTAAACCAACTGAAAGAGACCAGACTCGAGCATCATGGTTTTCTCCAGGCAGTGTTTGCCGTCCAGACCCACGCCCGAGACCACGCCGGAGCCCGCCTTCCCTTGTTTCTCCCTCGGGCTCCCGCGGGGGCCCATGCCACCTCCCCCGCGCTGGCTGCTGTGCTCACTGTGCCCCAGGGGTGGGGCAAGGAGACAGAGGGCTCCCCCACAGGCTGGCAGGGCCAGAGGCAAAACCCAGGCTCTGCTGGGCAAGGTCGGCTTTCCAGGGAGCGGTTCCAGTTAGGAGGTGGGTGGGTGGGAATCTGGACCAAACCACACTGCCAATCTCACATGATGCCACTGACCTACTTTCCAGTGGGCGAGCACAGCGGAGATGCCCACGGCGCCCATGTGGCTCCAAAGAGGGACATGAGCCTGTTGTCCCCACGTGCCCTCAGCAGGTTTCAGATACCCTTCCAGGTCCCTCTGGATCTGTTCTTCAACACGTCCAGAACCCATTACAGCCTCCAGTGGAAACATGACGAGCCCCCACCGTTTGCCAGAGGAATCCACTCACCTTTTTTCTTGCTTCTGCAGGGCTTACCTGGGCCTCCTGGACCAAAGGTGAGGGCCCTCTGGGTGATGCATCAAACGGGCGGGAGAGTTCCCTGCAGGAGGGAGGGGGAGGCGGCACTGAAGGGAGCTGAGGGGGATCTCAGCTGAGAGAAGGATCACGAGTGGCTCATTTCCAAAAACGCCACTCGGAAATTGATTGGGTCCCGCAAGGATTGCATTTTTGTGGGCTCAGGCCAAGCAAGTGCTATGGCTGGTATGGAAGATGCGGCCCTGCCCTCCAAGGAGTTTATGGTCTAGTTGGAAAAGTGATGCCCAGGACGCTGTCACAACATCCCAGTAAAACAGCATTTCATAAGGGGCCAGAACTGGAAAGGACCTTCAGGGTCATCCGGTTTCTTTGGAAACCTTATCTGGAAGCCCACGATGTCAAACAGAATCTCCCTTTGAAGCTGGAGTCCCTGCGGCTCTAGGGATGAGAAGTAGCAAAGCACTGATCGCAGCCAACCATTTCACAAATGCAGAAGCTAGAGCCCTGGGGAAAAGTGACTTGTCCAGGTGCCACAGCGGGTCCGTGGTAGAACAGTAACTGACCCTCAGGCGTCCTGGGCCCCTGCCAAGTTGACCTTTCCCACCTCCCTCTGCCTCTGCAAGGCAAGGACTCATTCTGAAGTAGAACAGTCCCTGTTATTGTTCCAGGGATGGCTGGAGGTGGAGGTCAGAGGATTTGGAGTCATTGGAAGGAGGAGGGATGGTAACATGAAGGGGGTGGCAAGAAAACCCCTCTAATGGCCTTCTCTTGGTTCCCCCAGGGAGACCCGGGGATCCAGGGCTACCACGGCCGGAAGGTAAGAAGGAGTGGAGCGGAGGACCCCACCCCCCCACCCCGTGACAACCCAAGTGGGGCTTCACCACAGTGCACACAGGGTCCGGACTTGGTCATGCACACACACTTTTGCACACATACCAGCGGGAGCCTCGAAACCCTTGAGGTGGGCTGAACAGGGGTTCATGTCTCCACCTGGGGGAGGAAGAGGCTCAGAAGGGGAAGGGCCTTGGGCAAGTCAGTGGCCCTGCTGGACCTCAGACCCAGGAGTATGTCCCCCGCCAGCCTGGGTGGCTGTGTCTGCACAGAGGCAGGCCAGGTTCTCACTGGCCCCCCTGAGGACCTAGTATGTGGGAACCAGGCAGAGCTTCTGAGCATGGTGGGAAATATGAAAGGGTCCCAACCCTGCTCTCTGGCAGCTCACAGGCCAGAGAGACAGAATTCCTGTACAAATAACCCTGGTGAAGGCAGACTGTGCTAACTGCTACCATTGCAAAGTGCTGTGTCAATGTGGGGCGGGGCTGTGTGTGTGCTCGAGCGTGCAGGGAGATTAATTCTAGGTTGGGAGGAGTTTGGGAAGTCTTCTGAGAAGGGACAGCCTCTGAGCTTAATCCTGGTGAATGGGTAATTGTATCGGTTATCTATTGCTGTGTAACAAACCATCTCAAACTTACTGTCTTAAAACAACTCTTTCTCAGGATTCTGTGGCTTGGCCACGTGGGAGTTCTGTATCTCCTCTGGGCTCACTGATGCAGTCACATGGGATGTTGGGCGGAAAGGCTGGGTGGGGAGGGGGCAAGATGGCCTCATCCACATGCCTGAGGTTGGCCCTGGCTGTGGGCTGGGTACCTCTGTTCTCCTCCACATGGCCTCTCAGCCCCAGTAGGGCAGAGAGGTTTCCTCACAGCATGGCAGGCCTAGGTCAGCTTTCAAAACGGGTGAGTCCCAACACTCAATTGCTTTTCAAAAACATCCCTTGCATCACATTTTCTGAAGTCCTATTGGCCAAAGCAAGCCACACAGCCAAAGCATGCAAGTCAGTGGGGCTGGGGACTCAGCCTCCGCTTCCTCTTGTCCAATGGTGGCAAAGCCTTTGTGGCCATTTTTAATCCACCACTGTGGTCCTTCAAGCAGCAGATTTCAAGGGAAATGGCATTTTAGACAAGAAAACAATTTGAGCAGAGGCCCAGAGGTGGTCATTACAGTGACTGTATAACATAAAAATCATTTTAATACTAGGCACCACTTACTAGATGCCTACTGTGTACCAGGCTGTCCTTCAACGTGACTTGCATCACATCTAATCCTAAGACCACCTTAGGAGGCTGACACTGTTCTTCTCCTATGTAACAGATGAGGAAAATGAGGCACGCCCAAAGTGTCCTAAGTGGCAGAGCAGGAATTCAAGTCCGGGTCCGGGTCTTTCACAGGGTACCACCTGCCATAAGGAGCCCATCCCGCCCTCCAGGCCCCAGCTGGGAGGCTCTGGCGCCTTCCTGGAGAAGAAAAGAGACAGGAAGGAAAGGCAGGACAAGGATGGGGAGGGATTCTGGAAAGGCAAGAATCACTCTGGAGAAGCACATTCCACACGCCATGTAGCTCTGTGATCAGGAGGCTGCTGTCACCGCATTGTTTCACGGGTGCTTGGTGGGTGAAATGGCAAGACCCAAGAGATCTTTCATTAGTTCTGCATAAACTGCGAAGTTTGTACTGTGTCAGGAAGTGGAAATCACAGCCCCCGAGGTTGCCTCAGGGCACTGCCACTCACGCAGACTCACAGCATTTACTGCCTCTCCTGATGCAGCACGGGGTCGGCTTTCCCATTAGCAGCCAGACCAGCTCTTTCAAACTGTGAAGAAGCTTCAGGGCGGCAGTCTCCCCCGGGATCAAGGGGATGCCCTCAGCTGGCATCCATACTATGGTAGGCGTCTGCACTCTCCTGCCAACGGGAAGTCTAGTTCATCCAGAAAGGAGGTTGGGGGTCTGCTGCCCTGAGGATGGAGAGGCGTCAGCTTGGGGCTGGGGTGTCATGATGATAGAGGGCCTGGTTCCATGATTTTGGCAATTCTGGGCTCAGATTGTGGGAGGAATCATTCAGCCCTGGCTGCACTGAATTTGCAGAGAAAACTAGTGTGGTCCTGCTGATGGAGGGGCAGCTTCTGACCTCTGGGAAGCCTGCTCTGGGGAGAAAAGGCTCAGGGCTGCTAGAGAAGGCTCGAGCATGGAAGGGTGCATGACTAAGGGTAGAGCAGTATAGATGGCTACCTTGAGAAGGAGGGAGCTCCCTGTCACCCGAGGTATTCAAGGAGAGGCTGGATAACTATGGGTCTGGGATGTGTTAAGAGAAGCTTCTGTGTCAGATGGGAGACTGGACTAAAATCCCTTCCAGCTCAGGGAAGCTACAGCTTCCTAAGAACAGAGTTGGCTCCATACCCCCTAGAGAGGAGCAGCCCGCCACCCCACCCTGGCTTGATGATCAGGCCCCTCCAGTCCAGGCCTTTCTTCATCCACATCCAGGGCTTGTCAGAAGCATCAGTGCTCTTAGGGCTCTCGAGGAATTGAGAAGGCCCTTCTCCTTCATGCTCCCCACTCTTTCTTTCTCTGCCGGACCACCCCCTGCCCTTCCACAACGGCCTCTTCTCCTGGAATCCGGAGGGGCTGTGAGGCTGCTAGCCTCTCTGGGTTTCTGGAAGGCTCCTGCTGCCTCCTCTTCTCCCAGCCTGTCCTTGAGACTTTTCAGTAGGCGCTCCTGGAGCACTGGGTAGTCTCAGCGCCCTTGTCTCTATGGTGGCCCTCACTCTGCTGGGACCCTTGTCCTGTCATCCCCGACGCCACAGCCTCCTAGTCCAACAGAGGCCAGAGGGCGTGCACTGGAGACCGATGGCCAGCAGCAAAGAGTCTGCCCCCGAGGACTTGGGGGTCATTCCTCTAGGTCAAGCAATACTCAGGAGGCTATGAGTGCCCGTCCCACTGCCCCAGCCCCAGTGATCAGTTTGCTTCCTGTCAGAATTCTGAGATGAAGAGTCTGGTGCCCAAGGACAAGGGCAGCAATACTTCACATCTCTGGTTTAGCCAAAGTCCATTCACTCCCTCTCTGACTCATCCTCACCACGGCCCAGTAGTTTGAGCGCATTATCCCCACTGTCTAGATGAGAAGCTCAGAGAGGTTAATACTTTGCCCAAGGTTGCACAGCTGGTGAACAGTCATGCTGGCATTGGACGCTAGGTCTCATGAGTCCGAACCCGGAAGGCAGTCGTCTTGCTCTGGTGCAGAAGTGAATGTCTGCTCAGGGGGTCTCACCCCAGGCTAAGCCATCTGTGCACAGACCACCCTCCCCTGTGGTTTCTCTGGGATGTGGAGGGTTAGCCCCCAGGCTCTTTTCTGGGGCGTCTGTCAGATCTCTTTTTCTCTCTCCTCCTCCCCCTCTGCTCTCTGCCTGGAATGAGGCCTGGAGGTACCAACACGAAGGGCAGCTTGGTCACGGATGCTGAGAAAATGAGTTTGCTTCCACCCACCACTCCGTACTGGTGGTTGGGGACACCAAGCTGGGACAGAGGCCCCAAGACGCCGCTTGTGTTCAGGGCATGAGGGGACCCTCAGGGTAACTGATGGACCCTCCACATCTGCTTCCATTGCTCTGTCCCGGCAACTTGACACGCACGCGGGGCCCTTCTTTCAGTGAGGGGTGGAATTTAACTCTCAGCAAAGACGTTTCTCATCCTGTGAGGTTTACTCATGATTAGTTCCATCCTCCACCTCCACCCTGGCAGCTGGTCCCAGCCTGGCGTCCTCTCAAAGGCCAGCCAGGCCATCAGGGCAGCGTCTCCACCAGCTACTTGAGATCACAGCCCGGGGTCACCCGCGGGCCCTGTGCTGCCCCAGCCCCGCGTCCTGGACACTGTGAGTATTGTTGTGTGCCCATGTGGTACCTATTTGATCCAAATTTATGACGCCAATCTACTTTAAATATGTTGCAAGACGCAAAGTGTGTTTAAAACATTACAACCTTGGCTCTCTTTCAAGAGGCTACGAGTATTGTCAGACTGTGTGTGGATCACAAAACCTGATGAGAGCTTATATCTAAGCACATCAGAGCTGGTCCACCCATCTTGGCAGTGGGGGGTGAGTTTGACGCATGTGCTGGTCTGGGTGTTAAGCCTTGGTGGTTGCATGAAGGACCAGAGCTCTCCTGCAGGCTGCAGGCTGTGCGTCTTCAGACCAGAGGAGGCAGGTTGCGAGAGCCTCGTGCTCACTCAGGCTGTAACTGCGGGTGCTCCCCCTGGAGGCTGCGGGGCACCCCAGAAACAGGGAGTCCTGGGGAGGAGATCCGATGGGCCCTGTGGCCGGCTGGCTAGGGCACTGGAGCAAGGGTGTGAGGAGCAGAAGCACGCCCACCCCGCCCACCTCTCACCCCTCCTCAATCCTTCTGCAAAAGGGCAGGATCGTCCTGAGCTGCTGGTCAGAGCCAGGCGTCATGTGGGTGGACACGCTTCTGTCGAGCGATAACTAGTATTATTATATCTACCTTACTGGGCCTCTTCGTGCCAAGCTGTATGGGGCACTTGGCTTGCCTCACCTCATTGGACCCTATAACCGCCCTATGAGGGAGGTTTTATTCTTAGCCCCAATTTACAGATGAGCAAACCAAGGTTCACAGAGGTGAATCCCCGAAGGGCCACAACTACAAAGCAGTGAGGCCAGATCTGTCTGGCCCTAAAGGCTTGTTCTAAATGACTTTACTACCTGGGTCTTATGAACCTGGGGGGACCCATGATTTCCAAACACCTCCCCTCCCAGACCCCCACTTCCTCTACTAGAAGGAAAGAAAGAGGGAGTTGGGCTGTTTTCCTTCTTGTGAGAAGGTTGTGGCTGGATTCAGGCTCTCTATGAGCAGGACCTGGAGCATCTAAGGCAGAGACCTTGGGGTACTTGGTGTGTTTTAGTCAAAGAACCGAGGAAGGGGAGTGCTTTGCCCATTGGCACTGATTCCACCCGAATGCTTCCCCAGGGAGCTGGCATGG